TCTAGAAATGCTGCTGGGAGGGGGTGGGAAAGCAGGAGGGGTGTGTGCAGCCTGCAAGGCCCGAGCAGCAGCAGGGCCAGGGCAGGACAGCCTGCAGGAGAGATGGCCAAGGGCTCTGGCAGGGCTGCAAGGCCCAAAGGCACCCAGGCCTTTGTCCCCTGGCCTCTGGCAGCTGCCTCTGCCACTCAGGCCACCACAAGCCACTTTCCTGGCAGGTTCTGCCCTTGGGTTCTGCCTCGCCCCTCCCTCAGCAGCCTGGCAGGGGTTGCCCAGGTTTGGGCCTTGGTTGTTCCTCCCCCTCCCATCCCAGTGCCCCCCAAACAGCCCTGAGCCAGCCGGGAGGGACAGGATCTGCTGGGCCAGGGCCTGGGGCTCAGCCCTTGGCCTTTGTGCTCCACAAAACCAAGGCAGGCTTTGCTCAGCATTGCAGGGGCCTGCCCCGAGCCTTTGTCTGCCTGCACTCCTGGCCTCCAAGGAGCTGCTCCAAGGAGTCCCTGGGGAGGCTTTGGCAGTGCCTGCCCTCAGTGGGGCCCAGCAATGCTTCAAGGCATTTGGAGTTTGGCTTCTGACTTCTTCAGCAGCTGCTTCCATCTTCTCTCAGTACCTCAGGATCATGGGCTGGGCTGCAAACACACCGTGGGGCTCATTAAAATGCAGAAATCCCTCAGGATCTCTTTGTCTTCCTTTAATTGTCTTCAAGGCAATTTCAAAACAAGTCTTCAAAATTTGTACTTTTTTTTTTAATTCAATAATGGATATTTTTAGTTCAGAGGAGAGGTGATCTTGATGCTGAGTGTCTCCTCAGGAGATCCACACTGACCCTGGATGATCAGTCTTGCTCCTCACCCCCCAGCCTCACCAGTTCTGACATGACTCATCTTGGACTGAGAACTGATGCAGCTCCAAACACACTGTGGAACCCATTAAAATACTGTAAAACAAATTATTTTAAACACTGAAAAACAAATTATTTCCCTTCCTTTGATTGTTTTCAAGTCTTAAAGTCTTCTACAGCTAATTAGAGTTTTTTTGTACTTTAGCTAAGGAGGAAGATTTTAAAGTGGAAGTCACAAAAAATATATATTTTTTTGATGAAAGGGAATTATTTACACAATGCCTTGGGATGCAAGAAGATCAGGGCACAAAGGATTTGGATCCAAAGACAAGGGGGCAAAAGAGATTAGTAGCACTTAATCCTTGACCAATTGAACAGTTATCAAGTGATTCAAAAGCATTTCCTACAATTTTAACAGTGACTGAATTAGAGATTCACAACAACATTCCCACCGCAGTCAATTCACACCCACACCCAGGCAGAGATGTGTGCACACATCAATAGTTGGGTGTGGAAAGGTCCCTCTCCCAAATTCTCCTGTTGTCAGGGAAACACTCCCACCAATCCCTTTGTGTTTGCCACCAGACAAGGGTCCCAGCTGGAGGAGTGTTTGTGGAGGGGGATCAGAATTGTCCTGGGCACCAGCGAGGGTCTTTGGAGTGTTGCAAACTGGAGGGTTCCCGAGCTGGGAGAGGCTGCCAGAGGTGTCCCACTGAGAGGGAGGTGCTGGGGAGCTGCCAGGGCCTCCCTCAGCCCCGCTGGGTGTGGGCTCACAAGGGGACTGGCTTTAGTTCTCTGCTGAATTTCCATCCTGGGGTCAGGAATGACTGGCGTTTCCAAAATATTTGGGAATTTTGTCCAAACTGTTCCATTTGTGTTACAATTCAGGCAGGGAATGTTCCAAGGCTTTCCTGGGATGACTGATTATCCTGTGTTCCCAAACTGTTCCACTCTGGATTGTTCCCACCTGTATCATACAGGAGTACCTGGTCCAGTCCAGGGACACTTCCCCACACCCATCGTCCAGTCTGGACTATGAGACCCAGGTTTGAGCTACAAGCTCATGCAAGGGTTTTTACTTTGAAAAATATAAAAGGCACCAAAAATTTCTGCCCTCCAGATATTTGAAAAAGGCCTTCAGTTCTTTTAGTCCTTTGAAAGAGACTACAAGGGAGAAGACACTGTACACATCTCAGGTGGTGAAATAACACATTTTTACAAGGAAACTTCAGAAAATAAGGGAGCTTGGTAAAAGTTTAAAGGGCAACATTCAACCGGAACAGAGCATTCCCCAAAGCACTGACTGATCCCAGGCCAACCCATCCCAGTCAGCTGGATGGTTTATTGACAATGTGTCCCGAGGGGCGGCACCTCCGATGCCACAGAAACCCCTCCCCCTGGATTAGGAAACCTTTGGAATTCAGGAGGTGTTCCAGTGGAGCACGAAAATGAACAGCAACTTTCCTAAAGCCCAGACCCCAGCAGAACAAAGCCAGGCCCCATCAGTGTCAGAGCAAAGGTCCCCCATCCCTGTGTCCCTGTGGCCGCTGAGGCGGCAGCGCAGGCCCGAGGCGGTGCCGGGTCCCGGTGCAGCCGGGGCAGAGCGGCGGCTGCGCGAGCGGCAACCCCGGCGGTGAGTGCGGCAGCCCCGTGGGAGCGGCGGCTCCGGGCACAGACGCCGGCGGCAGCCGCTGTGGCGGCGGAGCAGCGACTCCGAGGCGCTGCAGGAGCGCCGGCTCCGCTCGCGGGCGCCGGCAGTGTTGGGAAGCCGGTCCCGGGCGGCTGCGGGGCAGCGCGGGCCAAAAGCGGCAGCGGCGGCGGCCTCGTGGCAGCGGCGGCTCCGGGCAGACACGGCCCCGCTCCAGCGCTGCCGCCTCAGCGGCGCTCAGGGGACGGCGCGGCGGCTCCGGGGGCAGGGCCGGGGACTCCCTCTCGGGGCAGCCCCGGGCACCAAAGAGGACCGGGGCCCGCCGTGTTCTCAGCTCGCTTCTCTGCAGTTCTCACGGCATCGGAGCACAGCAGGGGATGGGGAAACTGAGCTCAACCACAACAGGAGCTCCTGGAACCGAGTGGCCATTGGGACACTGCAGGGCCTCCTGGAATCAAGGTGGGACACTGGGGAGCCTCTTGGAGCCAAGGGAATCTTGGGGTATTTTGGAACATCGTGGAATCAAGGAGCTATTGTGACAGTGAGGGGCCTCATGGAACCAGTGGAATCTTGGGAAATAGTGGAAACTCATGAAATCATCATTGTGACACTCCAGAACCTCATGGAACCAAGGGTCCATTGTGACACTGAGAGGCCTCATGGAACCAAAGGAACCCTGAGAGTTTCTGGCAGGATGCTCTGCTTGGATAATACCTAAAAAATGGTCAAAGAATACAAAATATTTAAGCTCTCTGTATTGAGTTACTGCTGGTGTCAAAGTGCTGTTTTTAATGTTGAATTATGCTAAACCCAAAATGCTTCCTGAAACTTCAAACATACATCCTGCTTTCTGAAGCAGGATTTGACAGAGAAGCTGCTCCCTGGCCTGCAAATATGTCTGGCAGTCAAACCCTTGATAACTATAAAAGCCCAGTCCAACTTTCACATGGCAGATTCTTCCCCAGACTTCCTTGAAATGCATGGAGCTTCTGCCATGAAGCAGGGACAGCTCTTCATGGTCACTGCCCAGGGGTTAAGTGAAAGAGAGGGAACTACCCCCTGTCCTTGTGGGGTGAGTTACCTCAATCTCTGCTTCAGGATTGTTTCTTTTTGCTGGCTTTGATCCAATTGCTTTAATAGAATGACTTTGATAGACTGCACTGTCCTATCTTAGACTATACTGCTAGGAGTTTTTTGCTTTTATACTGTGTAGTAAATAATTCTGATTGAGGTCTTTTGTCTGTTCACTTGTCTGGAAAATTTTCTGTTCATTTGTCATAATAAATAATTCATTTTATAGAAATATTTCTGATTTGCCATCACTAAAACCTGCAGGACAAAGTGATTGAATCACACCTCCATAATTCCTTCAATCTAAACCAAAATCAGAGCCTGAGACTGGATCCAGCCACCCCCAGGCTCCTCTCTGAGAAGGACTTTAGAAAGCAAGGGGGTCCTTTCTGCACCTCGTAGCTCAACGAGACGGCTTCTGCATCAACTTTGTCTGAGCCTTCCACCCCCCAGCCCCAAGCCGTGACACATGGGCATGTCTTGTCCATGCAGTGCAAACATGGACTCCTGAGCTGGTCATTTGCTGTCCCTCCTTGGAGGGAAGAACAAGCCCAATGGCCTGGGGTGAGAGGCCAGTGCTGGGAGCGGCGCTGGCTGTGCCAGGGCACTGCTGGGTGCCCCCACCCTGAGCACTCCCCCCCTTGTGCTGGTCACTGCTGGTTTCCTCTGCAGGGCGTTGTGTTGGGCACATCCTGGAGAGCAAAGTGGAAAGCAGATGGAAGCTTTGAGGCCCTGGCCTGAGGAGATGCCCCTGCAGGATGGCAGTGCTGCTGCAGAGGTCAGCTCTGTGCCAGCAGTGCCCGTGGCTGTCCCTGCCTGCAGTCCCTGGACAGTCCTGCAGCAGGACTGGCACCGACTGCCAGAGCACTGAGGCCTCCACCAACACAGGGCTCTGCAGGACAGGGTGGAAGGGAAGGGAGAGGAGGCCATGCAGGAGAAGGGCTGCTGCTCCCTGGCACTGCTGCTCTGCTGGGACTCTTTTCTGGCCCAGCTGTGCACAGAGGCCCCGACCCTGCAGCTGCAGAGAAGTCAGAGAGGAAAGATGTCAGGCAAACAAGCTAATGCAGAGTTCTTTATTTTGTTTAAACACACAGTGAGTACAATTTGTACAGCCTGTGGGCCAGGCTAGAAAGGCAAACACTGAATTGAAAATGGTGGGGTTTTTATATATATATATATAAAGATATATATATATATTTGTATCTTTATACGTATATATTTATATATATAAAGATTTTTTGGTGTGAAGAAATTCTTACAAAAATAACACCCCTACCAGGAGTAAAAAATAGAGAAGCTGTCGTGGGCCTTTAATAAAGCACAGAACAGGACTGGCCTTTAATGAGGTCCATAACATGCAGAAGAAGGAGAGTTTATTGCTTCTGAAAAACACCAAGTTATCAGTTTCCTCAGGGCATCCTGGAGCTCCTGGTTCCTCAGGCTGTAGATGAGGGGGTTCAGTGCTGGAGGTACCACCGAGTACAGAACTGACAGGGCCAGATCCAGGGATGGGGAGGAGATGGAGGGGGGCTTCAGATGGGCAAAAGTGCCAGTGCTGAGGAACAGGGAGACCACGGCCAGGTGAGGGAGGCACGTGGAAAAGGCTTTGTGCCGTCCCTGCTCAGAGGGGATCCTCAGCACAGCCCTGAAGATCTGCACATAGGAGAAAACAATGAAAACAAAACAACCAAAACAAAAAGAAGCACTAACCACAATGAGCCCAATTTCCCTGGTGTTGGACTGTGAGCAGGAGAGCTTGAGGATGTGGGAGATTTCACAGAAGAACTGGCCCAGGGCATTGCCCTGGCACAGGGGCAGGGAAAATGTATTGGCTGTGTGCAGCAGAGCATTGAGAAAGCCAGTGGCCCAGGCAGCTGCTGCCATGTGGGCACAAGCTCTGCTGCCCAGGAGGGTCCCGTAGTGCAGGGGTTTGCAGATGGCAACGTAGCGGTCGTAGCACATGATGGTGAGGAGGAAATACTCTGCTGAGATGAAGAAATAAAAGAAAAAGAGCTGTGCAGCACATCCCATGTAGGAGATGGTTGTGGTGTCCCAGAGGGAATTGTGCATGGCTTTGGGGACAGTGGTGCAGATGCAGCCCAGGTCTGTGAGGGAGAGGTTGAGCAGGAAGAAGCCCATGGGGGTGTGCAGGTGGTGGTCGCAGGCTACGGCGCTGAGGATGAGGCCGTTGGCCAGGAGGGCAGCCAGGGAGATGGCCAGGAAGAGCCAGAAGTGCAGGAGCTGCAGCTCCCGCCTGTCTGCCAATGCCAGGAGGAGGAACTGGGCCATGGAGCTGCTGTTGGACATTTGCTGTTCCTTAGCACAGGTCTGTTCAGAGAAGGAAAGCACAGGGAACAATTAAGACAGCCCCCTCTCAGCAAAGCCAGTGCAGTTTTCAGGGAAATCCCCTCCAAGTCAAGGCCTTTCTTTTCTCTGGTTTGTGCTCTCTGAGGGTGTTGTGAGGAGCAGGAGCTCTGCCCATGTGCTGCCAAGGACTCAGCTTTGCTCTGCTGCAGTGCAGACATGGAGCTGCTTTGGGACAGCTCTCATGACCACAGGGGATGTCACATGGAACCCAGCTTTGATGGAAAAGTTCAATTCCTGTACTGTTGTCTTGGAGCAGTATGGGCTGCAGGAGACAGGAACAGTGTATCCTTAAAATAATTTTGACTGGGGTTTTGGTTACAATCATAACAACTCAGGAGTGTATGTTTTTAGGGGTAAATTTTTCTGATGACAAATCTGAAGAATGTTGAGCCAGGACAGGCAGAAGGGCTGAGCTCTCCCTTGCTTATTGCAGAGCCAGGAGAGCTGCAGTGCCTCTCAGACTGTTCCCCATCTGCCCTGCACTTTCCCTCTTGCTGCCTTGAAGAGGACTTCACACACAGATTCATCTTTAAAAACCCCACCAAGATCTGTGCTGAGAGCAGGGCAGCGCTTCTTGAAAGGGCAGCTCTGTGAAGTGTCCCCTGTGCCAGCCCAGAGGTGCAGCTGTGCTGGACAGAGCAGGACAGGAGCCCTCCTGCAGGGAAGCCAAGGGCTGGGACAGGAGAGTGCCCACCCCCAAGGGAAGGCTCAGCACTGCCCAGGATCCTGTGCTCATTTCTGAGACTGCCTGAAATATTCATCTCTGAGAGTAAAAGAGTTGGAATTTCAGTGCAGCCTCCTGACCTGAGAGAACAATGTCTATACTACAATGCCTGAGCAGGAAACACACCTCAGGACTAATTCCTTTCCTGTAGCCCCTGTCTTTTGTGAGCTTTGCAAAAAATTCTCCATTCAATATGGTGTAGTGGTGTGGAGCTGTGAGCAGGTCTGACCCTGCAAACACCAAGACATGGAAAAGATCCTCCCTCAGCTGCCAGGTTTGCTCCTTGCCCACAGCCCTTGTGCCCCAGCCCTGGGAGCAGCTCCCCGGGCCGGCTGAGAGCTGCCCCTGGCAGGCAGCAGAGTCCCTGCCCAGCACAGCACCCTGGGCTGCAGGACCCTGCTCTGCCCCACAGCCCTGGGCACCCCTGGCTGCCACCCAAGCTCCACAGCTCTTCCAAAGTGCCCCAAAACAGCCCCTGCTCACGCATCCCATCAGCTGGGGCTGGGCCAGCTTTAGGAGATGCCTCCAGGAGCTACCCCTGCACTGCCCTGCAGCCACAGACTCACCATGTGCAGCCCTGCCAAGGTTCCTCCTGCAGGGAGCTCTCAGCCATCCTGCCAGTGCTGAGCCCCTTGAAGCTCTGTCTGTGCCCTGCTGGTGTCCCTGAGCTGGCCTGGCAGTGCCCTCAGCCCTGCTGGGCTGTGCAGAGGAGCTGCTCCTGGGCAGAGCTGTCTCTTTGAAGCTCTTCTTGCTTGCCAGGAGCTCCCTGTGTGCCAGGAGCCCGGCCCAGCTCAGCAGCACAGCAACAGCCCCAGGCATTTCATGACCCTCAGGGGGTTTGGGGTTGTTTACATGAGACTCAGTCCCTGAGAGGAAGTTCAAACAACTTTTCAAGAAGTCAAAGTGAGATTGAAACACTAAAGTTTCTTGTAGTGCTAATGAGTCTCACTGAGGGACACAACTGAGAACGTGTCCCCAGGTTCCAGTTAGAGCAGAAATCTGCAGACAGTGATGCCAAGGATGGACAAGCAAGGGAAAGGTGGCTCTGATGCTGAAGAAACCTTGACTTGTTTCCTTAATCCAGAGGACCAAACCCTGACCCCCAGCCCCTGGGAAGGGACATCCTGTCCCTACCTCATTCCTCAGGGCTCTTCCTGGGGCACTGGGATGTGGGATGTGCAATGCCAAGGGCAGGCCCATGGGGTGGCACCTGCCAGGCTGCTGAGCAGGGACAAGGAGGCCATGAGGCCCCAGGGCTGCAAGGGGCACTCCCCTCCTCCTGGCCTCAGGGGCACAGACAGCAGCCATGGCCAAAGGCCTGCAGAAGGTGGCTCTGTCAGGGCCTTTCAGCTTCTCCCCCTCCCTGTCTCCTCTCCAGCCCAGGCTGTCCTACGGTGTCCATGCCCTGCCCCTTTCCCTGCAGGCTGTCGTCATCCCCCCGGCTGCCCCACCTGGCTGGCACCTTCCTGCACTGACATCTCTGCGTCCTCCCTGGCTCTTCCTGCACACACAAAGCCTTGGCCTCATCCACACTCCTCCTGGCTGATGTGTTCCAGCACAGCGTTTTCCATGGAGTGAAATTCCTTTTTCCTCATGTCCACTCTGGACCTCCCCAGCTGCACTTGGCATTAATTCTTTCTTTCTCATGCTCTTTTCTACTCTGACAAAAGGATCCATCATCTCTAAATCCTCCCTTCAAGCCCTCTGAGGGCTGTCCTGTACTGTCCTCAGTCTCCAAACCAGTGAGGCCACAGCTCCTTAGCCCCTCTCTAGTGCTCCTGTGCTTGAGTCCTTTAAAGCCCATCTTGGGAGATCTCTGGGCACTCACAGATGTGTTTGCAGATGAAAATGTCATGCTCATAGTCTAAGGAAATCACAGGGATACTTTTTACCAAGGCCTGTAGTGGCAGAACATGGGGCAGTGGCCTTGAACTGAAAGAGAAGAGTTTTCTATTGGATAACAGGAGGAAATATTTAACAATCAGGGTGGCAAGAACTGGAGGAGGTTTCCAGAGAAGTGGATGTCCCATCCCTGCATTTGTCCAAGGTCAGGGAGTGTGAGTAACCTGAATTAGTAAAAGGTGTTACTGCCCATGTCCAGGGACTTGGACCAGATGACCTTTTAGCTCCCTTCCAAGCCAAATCATTCTGGGATTCTTTTGAGTCTAAAGTCCCAAAGTCCTTCTCCAAAGAATTTCCATTTTTGAGAACATGAATTGCCACGTTTTTGGAGAAATCCTTCTAAGCCCAAAAGGTAAAAATTAATTCCAAGGAAGTTCCAAGGCATCTGTATGATACTTTAAGCAAGTGGGTCAATGGCAGAACCTCTCAGGGTGACCTTGCAGCTGAGGATGGGGGATTCAGCCTTGGGGTCTGAGACTCATGATGGGCAGCCAGAAAGGGGATTTGGGGAGTGGGCAAGACTTGTCATGGGATGTCTAGGAAAGAACCAAAGCAAGGGGAGGATCACAGTGGTTTCTGGAGGACCAAGCATGAGAAAACAGAGAGAAAAGAGGCTGAAAAAGCTGGCCATGTTAAACAGGAGACTGGTCAAGACACGTCCTTGGCTGTGCCCTGCAAGCGATCCCCACAGCCTGTCCCCTTTTCTTAAGAACTCCATTGCCAAGAAGTTTCTGTGGGGAGGGACCTCTCTGCTCCTGGCACAGATTGTGGCCCAAGTTCCAGCCCCTGCAGCAGGAGCCACAACTAGTCAGGTCTTGTGTTCTCTGGGGGGCCAGACTCTGCCCACACTGGGGTGTGTGTGTGTTGGAAGCACAAAAGAGTGAAGCAAATGCAAAGCTAAACACCCAATGTAGGCTGACTTTGTCCCTAAGTGGGGGCTGAGAATTGGACCCAACATGTGCAGGGACAGATGGAGGGGTTTGTCCCCCTGGCCCTGCCCAGAAGGGACACCTTTCAGGAAGGGTTGTGGCCTTGGCTGTGCTGAGGGTTGCCCCGGGCAATGCAGCTTGGGATTGCAGTGGCACTGTCAGGGCTCTGCAGAGCTCCTGGCAGTTCCTGCCTTTGTCCCCAGCAATGCCAGAGACCTGCAGGGGTTGCAGTCACTCACTTGTGCTCTTTGGGACCCCGCCTGGCTCTGCTGAATGTCAGCAGGCCTGGAGTTCCCAGACTGTTCCTGCATCCAGGGTCGGGCCTGCAGTGACGTTTGTGCAACATTCAATTGGGGCAGTGGCAGGATGGCCATGGATCCATTCCTGCACAAACACAATGGGGCTCCATCCCAGGCAGGGAGAGAATGGGCCCACAAATGTTGGAAGGAGAAGAACCAGGGAGTTTTGGCACTGTGGAACCCCCTGGAACCAAAGGAACCCTGGGATATGGTGGAACCTCCTGGAATCAAGGGGACATTGTGACCCTGCAGCACCTCCTGGAACCAAAGGGAGTCTGGGACATGGCAGGGCCTGATGGAAACAAAGGAACCTCCTGGGAACAAAGGGACCCTGGACACTGCCAAAAGTCAGGGAGACAAGGGAACCCCAGGACACTGTGGAATCTCCTGGAATCCAGGGGCCATTGGAATACACTGGGGCCTCCTGGAACCAAAGGGTGTGGGAGGCGTGTCCAAGGTACGGGGGATGTACCGGGGCAGAGAAGCCCAAGAGAGCATGCGTCTAAATGGATAACTCTATTGGTTAAGAAGGTCACGTGATATCAGGATATAAAGTGAAGCGCCGAATTTGAAATAAATCTCTTTGTTCACCATCTCAGAAGAGCGTGCATCCTTCTTTATCATATAAAGTACCCCTAACGCCACAAAAGGGAACCAATGGGACATTGCGGAATCTCATGGAATGAAGGGTCCATTGTGACCCTGGGGAAA